TACAATTTCATTAGTTTGCGAAAGTAAAATGTATTAAAGTATCTACACAAATAAATAAATCATAGAAAAACAAAGAACATTGCATGGAATAACATACTATAGAGGTACGATCGTCGTGGACCGCTGCGGCGTTAGTTCACCGCACCCTCTGCCAGGTTCGCTGCGAGCGCGCGTTAACGGTTTTTAACACAGGGTAGCATAGGGAGTTGGGAGTCCTTATTTATTCTATTGGTCCATGACACTAGCTGATCATTTCCCTAGAGAGTAAACAAACTTGAAAGTAAACAAACTGACAAACTGTGGTCATGGATGAATATATACTAACGTATTATCTTCGTATATACTAATGTAATATCTTCGTCCATGCTGTGGTTCAATCATGGTTCATTCCAGTTCATTCCTTTCACTCGTTGATGACGGCGCAGAGATACAACTATTCGTGCTTAATGGATGTCCGTGTGGCATCTGCGAAATTGAAGGCGCGATGGCGCTCGACGTGAACTCGCGGGGGTTTCCTATTTCGGCACAAGACATTTAAGGCCTTTCTCCCTTAAACTAACGTAGAAACAACCCTTTTTGACACGGAGAAGTTAAGGACATTGCCTTTGCCAGCGCTGCTGAAAGTTATCACAGCCAGCAGTCTTCAGACTTTTACACACCTCACATCCCTCTCTTCTTGAAGCAAACAGTGTCTTAAATGAACAGCAGACTCCATTACCAGTGAAAATTGATGTTGCAATCAAAGATTAACCCCTCGTCAAGGAGCAATAGGAGAAATAGGTGTATAAAACAAATTTTCGCTGTATCAAAATGTGTTGTGTGCCCCAACATGCCTATTTCTATCTATACCAGCCTGGCGCCTGTCTCTCCTTTTCATCCTCTCAACCCCGCGCCAGGCACCTCCCTTGTCCGCGATTCCGCGACCTCGGGAACTCCCGTTAGCCCGGTACCGCCTGGCACGGATGATTCCCTACCTGTTTCTTTCCCGGCTTTCCCTTCATCATGATCATCCCCTTGAACAGCAGCCAGGAGACAGTAGACCAGACACTCTGATTTTGGCATCGCTAGGGCCACCACGCCGCGCCGGGATCGCGACCTCCTGACATAGACATAGCAGTTAGATTTGTTGTTACCTCACTGTACGCCTATCGACTTATACATAGTTTGTACCCACGATACCTGTAGTTGTCTTTTCGTTCATTCATCATACCCATATTCGGTACCACCACGGTACACCTACGTACACTGGCCCAGCACCAGAACATTACAAATGAAAGCATCACTCGATTGTCATTCTTGCGTAGTGGCTTCATACCGATAAAAGGTAAGTCATTTTTTTCTCTTCCCTTTGTAGTGTTGGTGTCAATTGAAGTGCAAATAGTTTTTTTAAAGAATCTCTCACTGCCGAAAAGGGTCGTTTTCACATTAGTTTTTGGAAGAAACTACTTAAATGTCCTGTGCCAAAGAAGGCTATTTTTTGGTGCCGAAAAGAACTGCGCCCGAACTCGCAATGTTCTGCTCTATGCTGTCAATGAGGTATCGCTCGGATTCGGGAGAAACGTTAAGTAACTAGGCCGGATCGAGTCTCTTCTATCATCGCAAGTGTTGCTCACGTAGCCTTTGAAGCACCGCTACAAATAAGACAAACGAAACCAACACATCATGGCATCAGAGCCAAGGAAAGGAGTCGCGTCGATGACGGCGCAGAGATACAACTATTCGTACTCGATGGATGTCCGTGTTGCGTCTGCAAAATTGAAGGCGCGATGGTGCGCTACGTTAACTCACAATGCTCCGCTCTATGCCGTCCACGTATGAGGTATCCTCAGATTCGGAGACAAAATTAAAAACGAGGCCCGTTCATCTACTCGTATGTTCATTCAGATGTTTTCTCTGGCGATATCTTTGTTTTCATTTTCCGCGAAATCCTCAGACTTTTACCTTCTTACCATTGCGCGGTTACCGCGCAATTATGGCTCTCCTATGATGCCGTGCTAAGAAAGAACGCCGTATGAACCTTCGGGCGTTGCCAAATTTCCTATGATAATGCACGGATTTCCTGGTAAACTTATGAATTTTTTCAGATACTTAATTCAGTTCGCAAACTTTCCTCAAAAATGTCACTTCTCATTCAAATTGGAACAGCCTGCTTTTAAGACACATCTTATTGAAATCCTTTTTTCTTAATTTATTTACTTTTTATGTATGGTTGTACACG